AATTTGTCGGATGAAATTTGCTAACTTCTGCAAAACTGTCGTTAACAGAAGGAAAAGGAACTGATGAAAATGCAATAGAGAGCTCTCTCAGACGCCGGCGAGGAGACCATTCTTAATGATGATTTACAGAAGCATGTGCATAGCCTGTCCTTTGTGCAGATGAACAAGAAGCAGATGGAAGTCCTATCATTGGGCATGAACTTTAAAGTCCTTCCTACGAAAGTCGACCGAGTTCATGTCAAACACAATTAAAAAAACCTATTGAACAATTGTCGAAATTGTGTCTAACAACTCAGGAAAATTACAATTGACTGAAGGGGAAGCTCGTTGTCATTTCAAACGGATTCATGAAGCCTCTGTTTCCCCAAACTTTCAGCCTAACAAAACAACACATTAATGAACTAAATTATCCGAAATCCAAGAAATTTTTACTTCTGTAACTTTGCAAAGATACCATTTATCATTATGGATAAGTCTTATTACATGGACAAGATGAACAGAATTTTGTGTGATAAATACAAATTTCAGAAGGATAAAAGCGGAACCTACGTAACCCAAACACAAAAGTTAGTGACCAGTATACTGCAAATATTGCTCCACTACGAAATACTGACGGACGCAATGTGCAACGCGCTTAAACCTATGGGCATCTGCACCTCTTTGATGTACGGCCCACCAAAAATTCATTTGGCAGACAAACTCCTTAGGCCTGTAGTGTTCATGGCTAATTCTTCGTATCACAAAGTGGCCCGTTGGTTAGTTTGAATACTTGCGCCAATGAGGCAGCTACTCGTCAGTCACACCGTGAAAGAGACCTATGAATTAATCGAACACGTGCAAAATATGGATATTGCTGATAAGATACTGTGTTCTCTTGATGCCCAATCAGTTTTTACTAGCGTGCCACTAAAGTAGACGGTGGGATACTTATATGATTTATTGACGGAAAACAAACTCTGAATGGTTTCATTTTGTTATGCACGGATAATGTCCATTTCTTGTTCGTAGATGAATGCCACCGATATGTAGACGGTGTTGTGTTATGGGAAGCCCACTTGGCTCTACACCAGCGGATGTCTTCATGACAATGTTCGAATCACACTGTGCAACACACCGTGATCAGGTGTGCCTGTACAAGCGGTACCTTGATGACACGTTGGTAATCGCCCCGACCACTAATACCGCCAAATATCTTCGCGTGGGCATGAACAACCCACATCCAAATGACCGTTTTGCATGTAGACTAGGGAACAACAACTGTCTTGTCTTTTTGGCTGTATTATTGACAAGGATAACAGACGGCTCGATACGGCGATCTGTCTACCGAGAAGCCACTTGGGCAGGACTATACGAACATTTCAGTAGCTTCACACCCGCCCAGTATAAGCGCTGCCTCGTCAAAACAGGATTCCAAAGCAATCATAGAATATGCAGCCCCGAATGTTTGGAGTCTGAACTGCGAGCAAATGGCTATCCTGCAGTCTTTATCACTGTGCACGACCACCCGATGGGAGAGCACAAGCAAAAGCCTCCAACGATGTCAAAAATGCCCGACTATCTCCAGTTGTAATTCAAAGGAAGTGTCATGACAAAGCAAGTCGAGCAACGTATAGCCACAGTAATTCGGCGGACATTCCGTGCTGTCAAACTGTTCTCCGTTTGGACAACCAGGAAGTTACCAACCCCTCCAGTCAAATCTACCCAACCGATCTGCACCACAACACATTGCATCTACCAATTTGTCTGCTGCTGCGGAAGCGGTTACATCGGCAGAATGCATTGGTGTATGACTAAAGGGGCGGTGAACACATTCCGTGGCGGGTTGCTACCGCTACGAGAGGTCAAACGCGAGGACGAGCATTAAGCTCCAGAATGCCGACCTCATCCATTGCTAAGCACCTACTAAGCACACATCATCAAGTTGACCCGGACGTGGTATTTTCGGTTATCTACCACAATATAAACGCCGAAATACTCAAGATCGCTGAAACTGTGGTCATTAATCCTGACCTTTGTGTGCAAAAACGGCTACTGTCGCACTTATGCTTCCTTGGAGGCTGTGACACTAGTTTCACTACTTCTGATTCTGCTGTGTCTTGTGCCTGCAGGTACCTACTCATTCAAAATTCAAACGATTGTTTCCTTTTCATCGGTGATCGTTTAAAATGTTACCCGTTTGCATGTGACCAGAGAGCACGAAATGCTACTAACTTGCAACATCCGTCTTCTCATTGCATTGTTTAGCATGCTGCAGGGAACGCGACGTTTCAGCACACTCTGTTAATCAAGTGAATACTTCATTGGCACATATCTTCCGCACAAAGTGCCAGGGAAATATTCACTACAAGTCAGAATAGAAGCTGGACTCAGTGCAATTTAATGCTTGTAAGACGGATCATCAGAATAATATCTGATATAGTCTCAACCATCCAGTCCCGCCGATTGACACACCTGAACGATGCCATCCGCTATCGGTCGATAACGTTCGCCACTACTCTCAAGCCCGGCAGACCCAAAATTCACAAAGCTTGGCGTACCAGCCGAGCATATGGCAATTTGGAAAATTGTTTGATTTATGACTGTATAGTGACCCTGGGAGTTTTCAAAGTGAACGAAGCATAACAGACCAATTAAGAACGTGTAGGCGATACCGTTGTCCTTAAGAAACGAAAACGGTGCAAGGGGGAAATGTGGCGACGTAAAAAATACCATGCTTATTTTTAATAACGCCTTAAAAAGTCTTTTCATGGAAGCTGACTTCCCTAACAATAACACCTACACCAGTGGGTGCCGCTGGTCAACAATACCGCTTCCTGTCTAAGTAACTGTAACTGGAGCCGTTATTGTTGCGCCGGTGTCTCCGGTGAGCTGAATGCAGTTGACTCGATAACCAGGTAAAAGCAAGGATTCTTAACCTCAGCGGTGCAGCACATGAGAAGTCAGTGTGTGTGTAAGTGCCGATTATCGATCTAGCTGTCTGAGAATGCGAACCTTTAACCCGGTTGAGGAAAGCAAGCAGCATGAACCGTTCCAGCTACAAAGAATTGGTTATTTAAGGGCTCAGAATGCAGCATGACTCGCGACTATGGATGGTAACACAACACATACGAGCATTATCAGCGACAGATCATACTTTCCCGAAGGTGAGTGAGAACGATAGTATGGTCATTAGCTTTTCCCGTTCTAGCAGCTACAGCTCGTACTGTAGTCACTCGATCCTCTGTAGGATAAATTCATTGTCTGGACCTGGTTCAGGTGCTCTAGACACTTGTACTCTACACGCTGAGCAGAATTCTGTCAGCTTCAAAATGCTCAGCTTAACTTTCCATTCGGCCTAGTCTCGAACTAACCAGGGCTCCATCTGTCCGTGGTCCGTCTTCAGAACGTCTGACACCGTTGTGGTGCGGTAGTCGCTGGTGCACGGGCAGACGAAATGTGTGAATACCGGCTTGGTTCCAAGTTTGTGGGTTCCGGTTCCGTCTCACCGTACCACTTGATTGCTATTTTAATTTTCTCAAACGCTTTCACAAGCTGATTTTATGTCTTTTTAGTTATTTGTATTAGATAGGCAGTCTGAGATTGTTAAACTCTTAATCTAAGTAAGCACAACACTCCACGCCCCTGAAAAGCTACTGAATGCCCGTTATGCTTTCTGTGGACTACTTACTAGCATTGATTCTTTTCGACCCGCCTTGTGACGAAGTATATGTGATCCATCCTTTACGTTCACCAGTTATCTAGTGTTGTGTAGCCCTCAAAGAGACAAAAACAAATTCTGAGCAACAATCAAAATCGGTTATTTGTAATGTAACGCATCTTCTATACTGTACACAAGTGGGGAGACGCTATTTGCTCGCGACATCTTCATATTGGTTACCTCCCACTTTTTGCCTCCTCTGCGGTCTGTCTGCGTCAATTGGTCCGTAAGTTCTGTTCCCTCTGTCTTGTGCGCCTTGCGTCATGCTTGGACGCGGAGCGCTTCTTTTTTTGTCTGGTCAATATACACGCCTCTTCCGCTGGCGGTTGTTACAGCCACTCCGCTTCGCCGTTGTTTGGAAAAAAAGCTGCGCTTTTTACGCTGAACCTGTCGCGGAGCTCGGTTCTTCAGGGACAAACGGTTTATTCGACAAAAAATTCTTAGGAAGAAGTCTCGAATGTATATAACTATATCACTTGCATACCTAACGCCGCTTCTGCATTCATGAGATTCTTCCTCCGAATCAGTCAAACAGACTCACTCTAGCGCAGCCAAATAGTAATCAATCAGCGTAGAGGCTAAGATGCCCAGGCTCCCGATCATCGTTTTCAGTAATCTGGCAGCTGGCTTTGTCATGTGAATCCGTCTCGTTTTTCTGATTGCATAATCCCATCACAGTTCCGATGCTGATTTTCCTTACTCTCTCGTCCACAAGTGCTCAGTCTACATCGGTAGGAACTGATTGGTTTCCTGCCTACCAAATGCCCGTTGGATAACTTCACTGAAATGACCAACTATTACCACACCTAGCTACGTTGCTCCTGTAATCTTGCTGCTATTTACCTCTGAAAAGTACTCTCTGATCTATTAAACTATTAGGTCCGGAAAAAGTGACAGCCACATGCGTTTCACTTGACTTAGAGCATTATGTCGACTTTTTTTCGCTTCCTAGGCTTGAGGTAAGCTGCTAGTTTTGCATGGCTGCCTGAGCCATTTTCAAGCCTTTAACCGTCTTTCCCTGTCCTCTTATATAATGTGCCATTTACTTCAAGTCCTTTCTTCTGAATACCACCACATAATCACCTAATAGCAAAGCTTCCCAGCATAATCAGCCAATCTACCACGTGTAGCCTCTCGGTTGGGGTACCGTCATATAGGTAATAGCTTGATTAGAGTGAACAAATGTAGCACTCGACCTACAGGCTATTTTTAACTGCACTCCGCTTTGACGTTCTTTATCATTCCGAGCTTTGGCCAATTCTTACTGCACCTTTTTATCATTCCTACCCTGTTAATTACACAGCATTTTCGACCCACATCAAACAGTGTACTTCATCAGCGGGTCAGTAAGTTCACCTGATCCCACCGTCTGGTCCACTTTGGTAGCCTGTTTGGCGGAGCTGTCCGAATACAGCGTAAACAGCTCCGGTGTGCTAACCAATGAAGATCGGACTACTGAAGCGAACGATTCGGCATTTCTGCCTGATACCAACTCCTCTGATTCATTCGGGTATTCCCTACCAGAGTCCTTGCTAAATGAGGTCTTCAGTTGGCACCTGGCCTCAGAACGTTTCCTGTCTGTGGTAAGTTCTCCAGTGTACAACTTGATCGAGTAAGGAGGCGTCTTTTCTTAAACGTTTGGTATCTATTTCACGCTGTCTGTAGTTGATACCACAGTAGGCTTGGGGTGTTGATGATACCGTCGAACTCATCAGACAGAATCGCCAGCCTCGATTCCTCAAGCGTCAATCGTTTGTACGCTGTGACCGAGTTTTGCCAGTTGTTGACGCGTTAGACCAGCAACGACCGGCTACGCCAAAGTAAGGTGCTCATGCAACTGCCACCATAAGGCGAGAGCTCATGGCCAAACCGGCCCGAGATCTGACGCCAATAGCTGTCACTACGCAGCGTCCTCAGGCTGTACCTGTGTCGGCTGTCGACCACTAGTGATAGCCACATGCGAGCGGCACTTCGAAGCATGTGGTCACTCGTGGCTCTTACTAAACTGTCTATGCCACATGTGAATGAGTGCGCACCGTCGATTAACAGCATTGGTACTCAACCTGTGCGTAATTGCCCCTAAGGGGGTAAAATGGGATCTTAGAGGTGGTAAATATAATAAGTACGTGGATTGGGTTATCAATCTATCGCCAAACATAATTACTAACAAAATCATCTGTATCAACCCAGTTAACTGACTACTTAATCACTATTGAGTAGTCATCGGTGACTAATCATTAGTGGGTGATCAGTGGATTGGACAATCTTTAGCAATAAATTTTGTTTAGTTGAGGGTTCGTCACAGCCAGTTCCAAATCAGATGGTCATTCACATGCCCGGAAAAGCACTAGACTGCAGTTTCAGCCTGTTGGGCATCCTCAGTGTTGCCCATCCATCGGATCCATCAGGATTCGAAGCTGTCCCCTGTGCAAGCGGTTGGTGGTCATGGATGGATCCGATGGATGGGCACAACTGATGATGCCCAACAGGCTGAAACTGCAGTCTAATGCTTTTCCGGGCATGTGGACGACTATCTGATTTGGAACTGGCTGCGACGAACCCTCAATTAACTGTATCAAAATCCCCTATTCATGAGTACAAGAAATTTTGTCACCTAAAATTCGAATACAAGCCTGCAAAGCAGCGCTGCTAGATGACGCTTCTATCAGCTCGCTCGTCGATCGTTGTTCTTTTGAGTCAGACACTCGTTCGCCTTGTGGAACTAGACGTGAATGCACACTGAACTGGGAGCATAGGTCAGCCGATCAGTTAAAGGTGCGACCGAATGTTTACAATATAGAAGGGATAAAACAGACGATTAATGTTCAGGACGTATCGATACAGAGTGGTGGTCGGAGCCTGTCATCCAGCTTGGAATTGGTACGGATGGTGGAGACAAATGAGAAGCCACTGACATCTCATGTCTGATCGGGGGTCGCACACCAATGCAGGGAACCGAATGAACTTGGAGCACGACTTCCGATGTGTATTAGCTAGAACCGCACCAAATAAACCAGAAATGCTTAGAACCGAGCTCATTAAGGTAAATCACCTCTTAATTATTGAGAAGCGTAATGCTTTCGAAATTCTATACAAGGTACCATCCCACTTGAACCATCAGATAGCAGCAAGCTTACTAACTACCGCTGAAGCAGCCGGCATAAGATTAACGAAACCAGGCCTGTGCATCCAAAAGAAACTCGTTCACGCGTTGCAAATTCCTTGTCCAATAGCTACAAGAGAAGCAGATTTGACCCAACAACGTCACCTGCCTTATATCACCTGATTACCCGACGTACATCATGAGAGCTTTTTCGATCTTATCTAATCAATGCTTTACTTCTGTACTGTCCTACCGACTTGATCTTCTTAAAGTATATTTCTGTAATAAGCTTGATAATGAAGAAACCGAAAACAATCGTTTGCTTTACGCGTTCCGCATGCGTGCTTCCCGAATGTGGTAATTGTTTGAAAATTGATCAATAAAGGTGTCTTCTTTATTTGTATATTTGATAAGGAGTACAATAAAACTTCCGTAAGTTGACCACCCAAAGGGATTGGATCAAAGTGGTCAACGTGGCGAGATGGTCAACATACGGAGGTTCTCTACCAAAACTTAGTTTAACCTACTTTCGCTTTGTGCGTGGTAACGTGTGAACTTTATATTTATATAGACTTGTTTCGAACACACGTAAAGGCAAACGCAATTCAACCATACGTCATTATATATATATATATATATATATATATATATATATATATATATATATGGTATAGGTAGAATTTCGTCACATCTAGGCTCACTCAGACAGCCGCCACACGCCCGGAAAAGCACTGTACACGCGTTTCATCCTTTCGGGAATCATCAGCAGTGCGCATTCCATCGGACCCCTGGTAGGGCTCGAACCCGCAACTCGACTGTTGCCAGTCCGTGGTTGAGACCACCGAGCTACGGGGGACGGCAACGACCGTCGTGAATAAGTTACTAGATGTGATATAGCGCCGCAACACCCGAAACCGGTAGTGAAAGACACGTTTCACAATATGCTAAAACCACATTGAAAATATACAGCGGAATGGATTGGGACGACAAGAACATTATAGGTAGAAGGAACTTCCGACGACATTAACCAAAGAATAAAACTCGGGATCTGTTCAACAATGGTGTATCTGAAAGATACACTTTTCGGAGATAAGATGACTAACTGTGTTAATAAATGTATTCACAATAACTGTGAATATGTGTGTATAGGAGATACCGCGAGCGAACTGCACACAACGCACAACCTAAACCGCATGTCACGGCGACATATACGTATAATGCTCTACTGTGAGATTCAGCGGTGGCGACGCACGTGTTAGGTACGGTGCATGTAAGGTGGCCAGATTATTGGTGAGCCAAACCGAGGCGCTCCCAGATTTCTTGCACGGCAAACCGAGACATTTAACCTACTCCCTTTTGTTTCTACATATGCTGACCGCACAACACATTAAAAAATAAATATCTACATTTATTGCTTCAATGCAATAATAAAAAGTACTTGCGTTATTAGTCAGTACAATGGTTACGCTACTGCAGTTTTAAATAAATAAATAAATGGTATATTCCCGGTAGAAGGAGGCATACAAGTGAAGGCACGACTAAATATACCTACAAACATAGCTGCTTTGGAACAGTAAAAGGTGTTGTTAAAATAAAGTACAACCAAAATTTTCGTAGTTTACACACTTGAGAAGTTCGTGGGTTAATAGTGGGATCCAAGGACATTATGGTGCTGGTTTGCGAAAAAATCAAGGTTATTACTATGAGGGCAATAGCCAACGGTCGGCATGATTTCGCCATGTTTTAACCCATGGTTTCATGAGCACAGGAGCCAAAGTAAAATGTCGGTACAAGCGTTTCCGATTAAAAGTTTATGTACTGCTTGACATAAGGTTATCTGGAACAATAGTTATCGAGCAATACTTAAATAAAGAAAGAACGAAATGTTTTATTCTCGATAGTGCGAGACATGCCTGCTTAGTCATGATCATGGAGACACAACAAGGACTGGTTAATGTAAAAACGACACGAGTTTATAAGTAACATATGGATCCATGTGTTAAGTGTGCATGAATGTGTTGTGTTGTTGTGTTGTTTGAATTTGTGAACATTGTTTTCGGTCAGGCGTAGGAAGAAGAGAAATGAACTCTGCGTGTTGGATGACTCACATTCGTGGATTGGATTAGATCATCCAGATATGTAAGAAGCAGTGAGTTTAGTGAGCGGCGAGTCACATCCGCCACGTCACAGTGTTGTTAAACGGATATTTGTGGCGTTTTATAGAAAAAAGCCTTGCCAGGCGAAAACCCACCATATCCTGAAACACTGACGCCGAACTATTTGCTGGAAGTGGATAAACCCGAACCAACCAGCTGACATCACGAAGCGGTTGTTCGCCTAGCTAGATGAATGTATTTTTCGTAGTAGATCTGGGCGCTGCATCAGCATGTCAGGAAGTCGTTCGCAAGGATACACGGCACTCTTGTCTTCAGAACTGCATTTCACCATAAGTATCGCTTCCAGTATTTAAAAGCTAAACTGCGTTGTCCAGAATGTACTTCGATTCAATTTCTAAAATGTAGAGTGCTGCATCTGAGGCACAAGTTAGTTCATTCTCACAAACGCGGCAACCAGAAACTTCAAACGTCTTCTGGCGAGAAGGATGTGGGAGTTTTGTCCAGGTTGACCTTGGATGTTCGAATCAGACTGAAATGACCTCAAGAAGGGGCATCCAACACGTGGGCCTCCTGAACCATGCACTCGGACGATTCGACCCTTCGATTTTTCCGCAACTTATTGGTTCATACACACGGCCACATGTGGAATACGTAGTACAGATTCGGCAGCCATGGATGAGGAGAGATATCACCGTCTTGGAGATACCCCAACGCCAGGCAACCAGAGACGTCAAGGGTCTGTATAATTTGCCGTATGAACGAAGGCTTCGAGTGCTCGGGGTCTTCAGCGGACAATATCGGCGACTGCGCGGAAACCTCATTTTGACTTACCATATTTTGAGAGATCCCAACCACACGTGCCGCCATGTAATAGAGCTCATTAACTAAGCGCAATTTGAGAGGCCACTATATCAAGCTGGCACAGTAGCAAAGTCGTTTAGAATGCCGTCGGAATTGCTTTTCCGTACGAGTTTGCAGAACGTGGAATGCCCTACTGGAATCTGTCATATGTGCTCCCACGCTGGCAGAGTTCAAATCCAGGGTTGATCTTGCAGTTACTTTGCTACACCATCTTACATGACCCATTGCTCATGGATATACACAACTGTCTGTAACAGTTTTCACTGGCGTTCAAAGCCTAGATTTCGTTTCAAATTTTTCGCGTCCTGCATGTGTACACCAGAAGCGACAGCCTTAGACGCACACGCAGTGAACCTTTGAGAGCTCTTTTACGACCCACAAATCCGAGTCACAGTTGTCACAATGGTTCATGTTCTGGGTGAAATGTATCACCACGTAGGGCTGGTGGTTTACGAAAGAACATTGTTCACTTTAGTCCAATTGCGTCCCGACTCGTAGTGGC